CATCTGTAGGTGGGGACCAGGCAGTACATCTGTAGGTAGGGACCAGAAAGCACATCTGTAGGTAGGGACCAGGCAGTACGTCTGTAGGTGGGGACCAGGCAGTATACCTGCAGGTGGAGACCAGGCAGTATAGATGCAGGTGGGAACCTGGGAGTACATCTGTAGGTGAGGATCAGGCAGTACATCTGTAGGTGGGCACCAGACAGTATATCTGTAGGTGGGGACCAAGCAGTATATCTGTAGGTGGGGACCAGTCAGTACAGGTGCAGGTGAGGACCAGGCAGTACATCTGCAGGTAGGGACCAGGCAGTACATCTGTAGGTGGGGACCCAGCAGTATATCTGTAGGTGGAAACCAGGCAGTATAGATGCAGGTGGGGACCAGGCAGTACAGATATAGATAGGGAGCAGGGAGTACATCTGTAGGTAGGGACCAGGCAGTACAGATGCAGGTGAGGATCAGGCAGTACAGATGTATGTCAGCTAAGGAGAGTAAGAGTAGTTGAGAGTCATGATAGCTCCAAACGCTCAGAAAACTCAGCAGAGCAGCTATGGGAAATCTGCAGCTGGTGGACCAAGCCAAACAGCTATAGGTAACTTGGGACTGGTGGAGACACAGGAAACTAGCTAAGGAGCTATTGAGGGGGAAGGTCTGGTGCAGGTGAGGTTAACAGGGGTCCAGGACACCCCAGGAACTACAAACAGCTTTACAGGAATTCTAGAGCAGGAAGGAGTTGGGAAGGCAGGCTGAGCATCTGTAAGGATACTGTGACAATTGTCACAGTTTGGTTGTCAGAGCTTCCCTAGGGACTTAGGGGATAATTCTGAACAACAATAGGAGAGCTGGGGATGGTAGGAATGTGGAGGTCCAATGCTAGCAGCTATTGAGGAGCTGGGGAGGTTAGGAATGTGGGGGGGGGCACAACCCTAGCAGGAAAGAGGTAGCTGGGGATGGTAGAAGTGTGAGTGACCAGTCTTAGCAGCTATAGGAGAGCTGCAGATAGGAATGTGTGGGACCAGTCCTACCTGCTATGGTGGACCTGGAGCCATTGGGAGTGTGAGGGACCAGTCCTACCAGATCTGGGGGCTGGGTCAGGTGATGATGGATGTAAGGGACCAGTCCTAGCAGATCAGAAGACCTGGGGATGGTAGGAAGGTGGAGACCAATGCTTGCAGCTATGAGGAGCTGGGGATGGTAGAAATATGCAGGACCATCCTAGCAGCTATGGAGGAGCTCGGGAGGTTAGGGATGTAGGGGGACTGGCCTAGCAGCTCAGGAAAGCTGGAGATAGTAGAAATATAGAGGCCAATGCTTACAGGTATGGTGAGCTGGGGATGGTAGTAATGTGGGGGACCAGTCCTAGCGGGTAGGTGGTAGCTGGGGATGGAGGAAGTGTGAATGACCACTCCTAGCAGCTATGGGTGAGTACGTGTAGGTGGAAATGTGAGGAGCCAGTTTTAGCAGCTGTGGGGGAGCTGGGCCAGGTAAGGATGTGAGGTACTGGTCCTAGCAGTTATGGGAGAGCTGCAGGTAGGAATGTGGGGAACCACTCTTAGCTGCTGGGGGGGGGGGCTGGTGATAGTAGGATCGTGAGGGACCACTCCTATTTGCTATGGGGTTGCTGGGGACGGTAGGAATGTAGGGAACCATTCCTATCAGCTATGGGAGAGCTGGTTGTGGTAGGAATATGCAGGACCAGTCCTAGCTGCTATGGTTGAGCTGGAGCTGTTGGGAGTGTGAGAAACCAGTCCTAGCAGCTATGGGGTAGCTGGTCATGATAGCATTGTGAGGGAACATAAGGCAGGAGGTAGAACTTCTTATGACAGCATGGAACACCTTAGTGGCCCACAGAAAAGCGGTGGGGTAACTATCAGAATTTGAGCAAGGGGTTGTGAAAGGTAGGGCACACGAGAGGTAGAAAGACCACAAAGGCCCTGGCAGTAAGAATGAATCAAGCACTGGCATGTGGTTTTGTTCAATGAAACCAAAGACAGACAAAATAGGTGAGAAAAAAAATCATCTTTTGCAACTTAGAATTCACTGATCAGTATGAGTTTTGATACCCACAAGAAAAAATGTGCCATTAAAAATAAAAAACGAATGAACCAGAATCAAATGGATAGAGGATTAGATGCCTTCCTGAAGAATGCTGCATGAACTCCTATTTCAAGGGCTACTGGCAAGAGAGAGGGACGTTTCTGGGACCTGGCAACATTAGCACCATGGGGAGGAGCCAGGGCAGTGTGATGAATGAGGTAGGCAGAGGAGGTGGCTGAGTTCACCAGGTTCTCAACAGGAGGACCGAGCTGCCTAGAAAAAGGAACAGATAGTGGCACCTAGGTCAAGACAGAAAGGCTGCCCTAGAGCAGGAGGTGTAGGGTTGGGGGTTATTGGTGACCCTGATGAAGCAGGGAGCAAGGTTCAATTAGAGCTAAAGGCATGCATAGGGACCTAGAACACAGATTTGGGGGCCAGAGCTTGTATAAGGGCAGCAAACAGAATAGGGGTTTCTGAAGGGCCTCACCACTGAAAGATCGGGGTTCATGGACTTAAGAGATGGCTCAGTGGTTAAAAGCACTAGATGCTCTTCCAGAGGACCCAGGTTCAGTTCCAACAAACACACAGCATCTTATAACTCTCTGTAAGAAACTCCAGTTTCTGTATATTCAACACCATCTTCTCACTGCACAGACATTAGGCACGCACATAGTGCACATATTCATGCATCTAAAATAAAATATCAATGGTAAATTAAGGTCAGGATACAGGGTCTAGAGGTAGAAGCTGTTGACCCTACTTGGCCCAGAACAACTTGAAAGATTCAGACTTTAGAGGAAAGCTAAGAACAGAGCCTCTCCAAATATTGGGAACCACCCATTTCAGAAAAGCTGACACATTCTCCTCTCTTACAGCTAAAACAACAGCTCCATCTGTCTATCCCTTGGTGCCTGGCTGCGGTGTCACGTCTAAATCCCTGGTGACACTAGGATGCCTTCTCAAAGGCTATTTCCCTGAGCTGATAACCATAAAATGGAACTCTGGATCACTGTCCAACGGTGTGAAAACCTTCCCAGCTGTCCTGCAGTCTGGACTCTACTCCCTCAGCAGCTCAGTGACTGTATCCTCCAGAACCTGGTCCTCAAAGACCATCACTTGCAACGTAGAACACCCGGCCAGCAAAACCAAGGTGGACAAGACCATTGGTAAGAGGACATCCAGGGGAGGAGGAGTTCACTACAGCTGAGGATCAGGCATTAGCCTACCTAGACTAACCAGGCTGGGCAGCCATCATGAGAGAGGGGACCTTAGCCCAGGATAGAAAGAGATACTGTCTCTGCCTTCATCCAAAAGGCATCTACCTATGGCCACCCACCCCCAATGACATGATCCTCTAGGATAGATGACTGTGTCATTTCCAGAATCATCCTAGACTAAGCCCATAAAAGGGAGGAAGTTCCCTCTCCCTGATTTGGTGCTTTCTCTTCTTCAAACCTAGTAACAACTTCCTTTCTTTCTACAGAACCCAGACGCGACAGACAAAACCTCGGTTCAAACACTACTATAGTCAACAACGAACCAACATGTCCTACATGTCCTAAGTGTCCTACGTGTGCTAAGTGTCCTACGTGTCCTACGTGTCCTACGTGTCCTACGTGTCCTACGTGTCCTACATGTCCTATGTGTCGCAAATGCCCAGGTATGTCACAAGACACATGCACCAGCCCCAGGAGGCTGGCAAGTGCTGTGAACACCCCTGAACTGGAGGGTGAGCCACAGACTGATCCATTTCCATCTCTCCTCCTCAGCTCCTGACCTCCCTGGTGGACCATCCGTCTATATCTTCCCCCCAAAGCCCAAGGATATACTCATGATCTCCCAGAATGCCAAAGTCACATGTTTGGTGGTGGACGTGAGCGAGGATGATGCAGACATTCAGTTCAGCTGGTTTGTGGACAACGTAGAAGTACACACAGCTCAGATGCAGCCCCGTGAGGAGCAGTACAACAGCACCTTCCGGGTGGTCAGTGCCCTCCCCATTGAGCACCGGGACTGGATGGCCGGCAAGGAGTTCAAATGCAAGGTCACCAACAAAGCCCTCCCAGGCCCCATCGAGAGAAAAATCTCAAAACCCACAGGTGGGAGCTGCAGTCCGACTGCATGGAGGCTGGGATGGGCATAAGAATAAATGCCTGTGTGGAAAGACCTCCACTTTAACCATGACCTCTATGTCTGCTTCTAATACCACAGGGCTAGTCAGAGCACCACAGGTATATGTCTTGCCTCCACCAGCAGAGCAGATGGCCAAGAAAGAGGTCAGTTTGACCTGCATGGTCACAGGCTTCCTCCCTGATGACATCGATGTGGAGTGGACCAGAAACGGGCATGTGGAGCAGAACTACAAGAACACCCCACCAGTCCTGGACTCTGATGGTTCTTACTTCTTATACAGCAAGCTCAATGTGCCAAAGAGCAAATGGGACCAAGGAGATAGTTACATCTGCTCAGTGGTACACATGGGCCTGCACAATCACCACATGACGAAGAGCATCTCCCGGTCTCTGGGTAAATGAGCTCAGCACCCAGAAAGCTCTCAGGTCCTAAGGGATACTGACACCCATCTCCAAGGTTCCCTTGTATAAATAAAGCACCCAGAACTGCCCTGGGGCCCAGTACAACTGTCCTGGTTCTTTACAAGGTACAGAGCCTAGGTCATGGGCTGTGAGGTCTAGCCATGGTTTGAGGACAGGGTTGTCTTTAGGAAGAGAAGCAAGTTTCTTCACTGGCAGACTCGGAGCTCGGGAATCATCCTGGCCTGGGGAGTCGGGGTTTAGTTATAGGCAGTGCCTTTTCCTTGCCTTCCCTCTCACCAGCAGCTGCTACACAGAGAGATAATCCTATGGAACCTCCAAGGGAAGAAGCACACAACTCTACCTCCCTCAGTCTGTTCCTGTCCCCCTTCACTACTTTCCTACCTACAGGTTTCTCTGAGTCTATTGTAGAGGCACACATGGCTAGGGGCATGCCAGAGACCCTTGCCATCCCTACACTCCGCTCAGGCAGCTTTGCATGGATTAGGACTGCACACCCATACAGACTGCACACAATCATTCCTGTGCCACGTGGGACAAAGGCACATGACTGACTCTTCCTGCCCCAAAAAATGAACTAGTAGACAGCCACATACATGCTGAATCCTGACCCATTCAAATTAGCAGCTGAACATCATCCAGTCCATATAGCACATGCATCCATGTTCACGTGTGCACACACACATGTAACACACTGGGACACTGCCTGTGTGCCATACACAGTACCTACATCCAGCAATGTATCAGGATACCCACGACCACCACTTCGATGCCCACATTTCTGCCATCAAAATCAGACAGAGTTTTCTTCTTCTGAGACTCACTGCATTCAATGTTCAACACAAGTCTTCTGACGCCAGATCTGTCTCTGACACCTCAGGGTCATGCTTCAACCCCACATGAATTATACAACCCATAGACAAAATGGTCTGAATCACTTCACACTAGAATTTTCTCAAGTTCAGGCAAGACCAGGCACAGGCTCTGCTGGTGACTGGGGAACAGGCAAAGGGTCAGGCCAGCTGTATAGCCACTGTCCACTAGGGTCACAGGCTCTGCTGACACTTCACCTTCTCCTGTACTACGGAAATGAAGGATGAGGCAAACATAGTGGGCCCGTGTGCAATCCAGGCCACTGTGAGGTCCATTGTGTCTGGCAAATCCCAAGGTCTTGTCAGAGTCAGTTGGAGGCCACTGAGACTGATGTCCCAGAGGGAAAGGAAAGGAAAGCAAGACCCAGGGAGCATCTGATGGCCCACCCCAGATGGAGCTTTCTCCTCTGACTCTATGCAGACTCACTTGTCACACAGGGAATCTCTCACAGCCCCCACCTTGTAGAGACAAACGCTGACTACCCTCTCTGTCCAGAGCTGGAACTGGAGGAGACCTGTGTTGAGGCCCAGGAAGGGGAGCTGGACGGGCTCTGGACAACCATCACCATCTTCATCAGCCTCTTCCTGTTCAGTGTGTGCTACAGCGCCTCTGTCACACTCTTCAAGGTTGGCACTGTCCCCACCATCTGCCGTGATGTTGGCGCTGACCCCATCATGTCCTCACACTCCTCCCCTGATGTAGTAGGATATCCCCTTGCTATCTCCACTCTGTCCCACACCCCATTCTCACCGTTCCCTGAGCTGTCCCACATTGCTCTGTGACTCCCCATGGCATCCCATACTGTATACCATTTTGTCTCTCATGCTCTCCTGTGTGATCCTCATATGGTCTTAAGAAAACTCCTGGCATTCCACACTATCCTTCATGAGGTCCATGATATCCATCACACAACCCCTTTGTGTCCCCTTCAGCCTCACCACAGCCCAAGGTAGTCTTTGAGCTATCCTCATACCATCTCCACCTCAATTCCCTCAGTGTCTCCACCCTGTCCCCTTGCCAGCCCCAGTCTCCTACCTTTATGAAAGGAACTACAGAAGAGACAGGCCTCTGTCTTGCCCACAGGATTGAAGGGCCTGAATAAGGGTGTGGTTTCTGACTTACTCTCACCTCCCCACAGGTAAAGTGGATCTTCTCCTCAGTGGTGGAGCTCAAGCAGAAAATCTCCCCTGACTACAGAAACATGATTGGGCAGGGGGCCTAGGCCTCTTCCTTTGGGATCAGCACAGATTCATAGTCCCTGCAGTACTCTATCCATCCTACTGTGTAGCCTGACATGGAGGCCACACTGCCCAATGACATCACACGCTCTAGCCCTATGACTCTCTAATCCAGAACTCTCCAATGTCTCCCCATGGAAGACTATGTGGACAGCTTTACCACAGACCCAAACAAAACTTCCTCAGCAGTTGTCAGATAACTAACAGATCACGGCCAGAAGACCCATCTCCATCCAAACATGCACCAGGGTATCTGAGACCTCAGAATGTTTGCCTAAGAAGAGCTGGGAATCCATGTTGCCTGAGTCCAGTTGTGTGGGAATCAGACCTGGAGTCTCCTTACCTACACATTTTCCTCAGAAATGGATATTCTCAGAAAGGGCCATGTTTCCAGATTCTTGAGAGGAGACATCTGCTAGGAAGACCAGGATCACCTCAGCCCAAAGGGTCATTCTGGTAGCCTTTACACCAGCTGTACTTGGCTAACTTCCTTCCTGGTACTTCTGTCATTCCTGGGCTGAGGAAAGGCTCTGTGTTCCTCAAACTGTGTTGACAAGCCTCCTTAAGCTGAGGCTCCGTGTGCAGTCTTCTCTCCCTGCTACCCACTCTACATGCTTGATTTCAGACGCATGATCCAATCCACAGACTCTGTTGACCACACAACCTCAAGACAAAGCCACTGCCATCTCCACAGACACTCTATCCACACTCTGTGGAGGGAGAAGAACTGCTTTGTGTAGCCTCATCAAAGCTCTAGCAAGGAAAAGTGCATAGATCACAGTATTGTGTGTGTGACCAGGAAGGAAAACCTCTAGGAGAGGGCTCTAGTGAGAAGATTCCTGTTGGGCTCAAAAAATGGGTCAGGGCAGGAACAATGGGGGAGAGGTGTGAACAGTTCTTTAGAAGAAAGCCACAGTGCTGCAGGTCTGCCCTGCAGGCCTGGGGTCCAGACTGAACCACCTACAACAGAAAACATCATTTGCAATGGACATCTAGGAGAACTGACCTGGAATACCAGGACTTCTGTGCCCAATGGAGAATAGCCCTGTATCTATTTCTCCATTAACTCTCATCACCAATAAGAAGCCAGAGTCTCCAGACAGAAAGAAAGAGTGTGCACCTGCTTTTCTGTGACTGATAGGAAATGCTTAGACAACTTGGACTTTTAACAGCTTGTTCTAGAGACCATGAATGTCTTTAAAGCTCTCTCTCTCTCTTGTTCTCTCTCTCTCTCTCTCTCTCTCTCTCTCTCACTCTCTATATATATCTATCAATCTCTCTCTGTCTCTGTCTCTGTCTCTCTCTCTCTCTCTCTCTCTCTCTCTCTCTCTGTGTGTGTGTGTGTGTGTGTGTGTGTGTACGCTCAAACACACTGTTGTTTTGGCATTTTAAACAATAAAATTTTCTTTTAATATTTTGTATCTCAGGATACCCATTCTTTGTGGATTAGTCCTAACACCCAGGAACAGGGCACAGTGAAACAGATCAGTGAGCCATGCACACCCCTCTAACTCCATCCTGGTCCTGGCCTCCCAGGCCTCCCTCAGTGGGCCCCTCACAGCTGGCTTTGAGTGCTTACAGAGCCACCAAGAGCTTATTCACCTCCTGCACGCAGGAAGATATTTTCCCAGCTGGAGGCTGCCCTACTGCCACGTGCAGGCTGTGGAACAGGACTGATGTCCAGGGTGGATCGCAGGGTAGCCAGGCAAAGCTTCCCAAGCCAGCTGAGAAGCCTGTGTCTCTCTCTGACCTTGGGCTGCTAAGGATTCAGCAAAGGACATGGATCCTGCTACCTCCATAGCTGATGCTTATTGTTTCAAGCCGTGTTCAGAGAACTTCCAGATCACACATGGACAGTGTGGGTTCTCAGCAGGGCTCTACTGGCTGTATTTATTTCAGGTGTACATGAGTGTGCCTGAGTGTGTCAATGTCTTTGTGTCTGTGTGTCTGTGTGTCTGTGTGTCTGTGTGCTGAGTGCATGTAGGAACACATATTAGAGAGAAGAGGCATCAGATCCCCTGGAACTGGAATTACAGATGGTTGTGAGTCACCATATAAGTAGTGGGAATTGAACCCATGTCCTCTACAAGACCAGTAAATGTTCTTAACTCCTGAGGCCCAGCCCTGCCTCAACTTCTTACTGGAAGATGGATCCAAACCAAACCTGACCACATGGTCTTAGGAAGCACAGATTTGCCACCACCTCCAAACCCTTCCCCTCATGCCTGCATATGTATGGCCCTGCACCATCATCCACCACCTTCTGGTGCCCCGCGGCAGGGGCTTCCCACAGGAAGTGCTCTAGCCTCCTAACCCCTCACACCTTCATCAGCACTGTAAACATATAGACACAAGCACCATAACCACCAGACACACCTTCTGACTCTTTATTTCTGAGACCAACTGATTTCAGGCTGTGTTTTACTGGATGCATCCATCCAGTAGAAGCTATCTGAGTCCTGCCCTCATGACCTCTATGGTGTATGTCCTGTATCATAACATACATGTGTGACATTTATACCATGTAGAACCACATGTGATAAGGGGGGCATCCCTACATAATGTCTATGGTGAACATCTGTGATGTAACTTTTATGACATGTGTGTGTATCTTCCATAGAGGACACCGATTGCAGAATACCTACCTGTGCTAGCCAGTAGCCATGACTACCCAGACAGCTACTGACACTTGACCCACTTGCGTTCTATCACAATCTGGGAATCGTAACATGACACAAACACTAACTGCCCCACCAAGTCAAGGGCCTGCATGAGATATGACATATGTACGTACACGACCTGTGCACACACAAACCACATGAAAACTGTCTGAGAACACACGGACAGCACATGTCCACATGGGCATCACAGTGTAGCCACAGCACACATGATGCCATACATGACACAGTCATACAAGTCCTTACAAAAACATACATGTTTGCCCATTCCCAGCACCCCTGGCCTCAGGGTCAGCTCTGGCCATCCTGGCCCAGCAGACTCACATGCCTCAAGCTAAGCACACACAGATCCTCCTCTGTACTTCCTTTCCGAGTTATCCCATTACCTTCAACACACCGCCAACCTCTCTTCCATGACTGTCCCCGTCACATCTAGCACAAAGCCCTACTACTGCACTAGCCTCCTTAGCTCAATGACCACAGGTGTCCATCTTCCGTTAAAGCTTGAGCTTTGGGACAGGAATGTCCATCCAGACCCATGTTCATGAAGGTCTATCCAATGGTTGGGCATTTATGATGATGTCACACCGGGTCCCTCACCTCTAACTAGCCTTCTAATCTGGCCCAGTTATGTGCTGGGAACTAAGTGGATGGTCAAAGTAGGATGTGAAGCTGGCCAACTGTGCAGACCAGTAGGTCCATGTGCTGACCTTCAACTGTAAGTCTTCCCCACGCCTACCATGTAACCACAGGATCTTTCCCCCAAGGCAGGGTACAGATACCACATACAGGAAGGAGACCAAGTGAACGGGGTTCCCCCATAGCAGGTGTGGGAGAGTCAGGATGTAGGGCACAAAGGATATGCTGGAGTTAGAGAAGCCATCCTCCCCACTTCCTGACCAAGCACATATTTATCCTAGTATCAGCTCCCTCACTCTTCCCTCTGTGCTCAAGCATCTGCCCATGGGAGGAAGACCCCAGCCTCAGTCAGGATGTCCATGAGAGCAGCCATGGTGTGAGTTCATATGGCTCCGTTCCTTTGTCCCAAAATGTCATGTTCCAGAAGTACTTGCTCCTTTGACCTGTGCCTTAGAAAAGAGGCCAAACCTTGTGGTAGACGCAGGAGTGAGAAGAACAAGACAGTGCTGTTGTTTTTCTGCAAACAAAGCTTGTCCTGGGCTGAGGGTATAGTTTAATTGTTAAAGTAAGAGACTCACCTGTTGGCTCGCAAACCCAGAGGCTTATGGCTCTAAACCTGGAAACCCAGTGATGTATTGCTTTTGGCATACAGAGTGCTGATATCCAGCAGCTAAGTGACTGCTTCTGGACTTTGGAATCCATTCTTCTGGATCACCCCCTACATCCGACTCTTCTCAGCTTCTCAGCTTCTCAATATTTCCACCCTCCTTCATCACCTTAAATAGTTGCAGATGCTGCCACTGATGGCTCACTGCCTCCTCAACTACACCCTGCCACTGCCACCCTAAGCGCTGGAAACCTGGAGCCTTGTCTGCTCTTCGTACAGTAACACAGCCTACTCTACCCATGACAAAGACCATAAGGAGACTTGGAGATCATTTGTGAAAAGCCTTTTTATCAGGGCCTAATGTTCCACATGTAGACCAGGACTCGTCTATTGGAGAGAAGCCCCAAAAAATAGTGGGGAACATACTGTTTGTAGAGACGGAACAGGGCCATGATATGCTCATACATGAATTATACTTCCGACAAACACAGTCCTGTGTGTGCTCAGCTTCCAGTTCCACCAATCACAACCTTCCCATATGAACCCATCACAGTCTTTCAGAAGCACAGGTTGCTGGTCTCAAATAGGTCCAGCTTTCTATCTGACAATAACCAGGATGTTTGTTTGTTTGTTTGTTTGTTATTTCTTTTTATTTTATTTATTTTTCATTAATTATTTTACATCCCACTCACTTCCCCCCACCCAGTCATCTGCTCCCACAATCCTCTCCCCATCCCTCCTCCCTTTCTCCTCTGAGCCAGTGGAGCCCCTCTCTGTGTATCCCCTCACATGCTAATAATCAGGGATTTTGAGCCACAGGGAAGATGCTCTTCCTATTCTCTGACCTTGTTGAGGGCTGCTATGCCAAGGTCCTCTGGAGCTGTGTTCGAAGTCACTTGGAGGTCATAGGTGACGTGGAGTTTGCCAGCCATGGTGTAGGCTGGAGCCCTGGTGGGAGAAGGCTGTGGTTCCAGCAGCGGCCATGACTGCAGTATACTTTGCAGCTCAAATATGGTTTCCTCAGAGTTCTGTGAGATATTCAAAGTATCTAGAATCCCAGGATGACAGTTCTCTAAAAGAAATCTAAGACCACTAGATAGAGGAAAAAAGACCAACCTGAATACATCAAAAGGTCAAATCAGCCTGGCCTCCAACAGCCCATTGT